AGTTTTTAAGAGTTTTAGCCAAATGCTTTATAATATAGTATAGATATATTCGGTATCATATCATGGGCATTTTAGTCTTTTTATCTTTTATCATGTTCACTAAGATAAACGTGTTTATGAACATCAAACAAGATTAAAGGGCCGTTTACCAAATGCTTACTTGGATAAGCGTTTATCAAGTTACATTACCTTATCGGATGATCATGGAAAGTACCATGAATCTTACCCGGTAAGAGCGAGGCAATGACCTAGAGTCTTACCCGGTAAGTGAGAGCAATGACTCTTACCACGGTCAGTTCTTACCGGGTAATTGTTGCATAGAAAGCCGTTTTTTGTTGACTAAAATCTTACCCGGTAAGTAAATTGTAGTGTTGAATTTTTTACCGCTAGATGCTTACCGGGTAAATGTTTGGTAAACAACCCCTAATACAAAATAGATGAAGCTTTCTCACTAGCACCCATGAACTTTAGTTTATGAACCACTTCCGAGGATATGTTATGTTGCTCCCATAAATGATTCGGGATTTGGATTAAGGACAGTATCTAAAGAATGTTTCTAGGTTGAATATTTTGTCGGTTTAATTGAAAAAAACTTTAGGTTTGAATAGTTATTGTCGGTTTTACCAATTCTCTACCTAACGCATGCTAGAATTCTTATTTTGGTGTTATGATTTTTGGAATTGCGGTTGAGTAGATCAATTATACAACATAGATATACATCAATGTGTTCACAATATTTATATTTTTTATGTTACAAAAACTTTAAAAAATATATTAAAGACGAAGATGTGACGGTGGTTGAAAAGAAAGGCACATGAGTGCATTTAAAGCTTCTTCTATTATTATAGAAAATTTTGACGTTTTTTAAAAACTTCATATTTCACAAATTTTGACCTTTTAAATAGAACTCAAAGTCTTACCAATTTGACCAATTATATAACCGGAACCGTGACTTGCAATAAGTAATTGCGAGATAACAAAAATTACTACTCCTAAAACACCGTATAATGATATGATGTTTTAAAGAAACTGTTTTTATTTGTAGGACCAGATATTTGATGGTAATGAGTCCATATTTACGATATAATTAATGTAAAATGAAGACTGATTTTAGTTGTTATGATACTTCGTTTATTATCGTTGTATTTGAATCAATTGGTGTATTTTAGTTGAATGTGTTAAAATGGATGGAAATATATTTTTGTTAAAACGAATTATACATTCTGAGAGATGAAAAAGAGAATTATACATATTCAGACGTTTGTCAGTTTAGAAAAACAAATAGTCTTATTGATTCAAATTTCGGATTTCAACACCACCTCTTATCAATCAGAAGTAAAACAAGACTTCAGATTTCAGCACATCTAAAAAAACAAACAACACCTTAGTGAAATAGTTTTCTAAATACTACTTTTTGTCGTGTTTTTGAAACAAAAAATACACGTAAGAAAGTTCCATATCGTAAACCGAATACATATGAAACAAACACATTGTTAAACAAAGAGAAAATTTTCCCTTTTCGGTTTGGATTACTAATTTTTTTTTTATTAACCTGGATATCCAACCTGCTATGCGAGCCGACTAATCCCAGGACGACCACCTGCTTTGTAAATAGCCCGGAGTCATCATATTTGAACCTCCGTACCACAAGGAGATTTTTATTCCTCCTTTTATTTGAACCCGAAACCTCCTGGTACTTTTGATCTTTGAAACCAAGTTCAAACCAATTAAACATCACCCTTGTGGTTAGGATTACTAAACTTTAGTATATTGACTTGCATCTTGCATCCTTAGAAATATCAAAATCATAATAAGATATTTTTATATTACAAAAATAAATATAAATATATGTTAATCAATACATTAAATATTATATTTAGATGAACAAAAAAATCATGTAAAACAAAAACTTAAGATATAAATTCTTAAAGATCTCATAAATTTTAGAGTTTTCAAATGATTCTTCGGTTTTTCTTTTTATTTATTTAAATACAATACAACATTAATTTATATGTATTCAGAAAACAAAATATGTATTTATTTTCCAAACAAAATATGATTTATTTTATTCTTAATTAAAAAATGATTACATTTATTAGAAACAATATTTTGCGTAAAGAATGATGATGAGACAGAAAAGCATGCTTATTTAAGCGGAATGGCCGCGAAATGTGGGATCCAACGACTTTTTAAATCCCTTTTTATATTTATTTTGATACCGCTTTTTCAATTATGTGGCCCCACCTGTAAATATAATTTTATTTCTAAATAAATACAAAATTCTATTTTAACCCTTTTTAATAAATACTACAATAATCATGTTTATTTATAATCTTCGATATTATCATCTTACCCTTTTAATATTCATTAATGAATAAGTTCATTTATAGAAATATCTGAAAGACGTATTTCGTCTCCGAATGAAATCGACATGTATGTATACTTTAAATAAAAATAAATGACGTCATAAATAATAAAAGAATTTATGCTTTTTTGAGAAAAAGAATTGAGGGATTGTAAAAAGCTTTTGTGGTTATGGAGATTCACCTGAAGTGACCACGTCCGTCGTTGCTGTTAAAAGATAAGTGAATGGGGGTGATATCATGTTTCATATCCTCTCTTGTTGTATGAACGATGTTTGCTCTTTGAGAGCTCATTAATTTTAAGTAAGAAAAACAACTGATTATTGTAGTCGTCACAGATGCCCGAATACTCAGAAAAAATAATCTATACTACTTTATAAACCAGATTTATCAAAAGTCTTAAAAACAATTTTTAATTCACAAAGTACTATACATTTATGCACAAAGTCTTAAAAGTCTTAAAAACAATTCATAATACATTAAGTACTACTACTTTATGCATTCAATCTTGAAATTAATTAATCTACAATTAAAATAATATATAATGCAAGTTACCAATGCACATTATTACCTTTCTTTTCATGTTCTCAATATACTTTTGATACCTTTCACTCATGTCTTCACCCTCTCATACATCTATGTCTTATCCTCATCCCCCAAAGTGAGATTCATACTGATATTCATCATGAGTTATTAAAAGTTCTCTTACTCATCTCTCATTCAATTGCTCTAGAACTCTTGGTCGCACTCTTGATCTCTTGATTCTTTGTTCTTGGTGTAAATCGATCACATTTGTCTAGTCGTTTAAATATGTTGGATTTTAAATATATTGGATTTTAAACTGGCTTACAATTTTTTTCATCGATAGACTGTAATTGAAACCATATAAATTGTATTAATATGTAAAGACCAAGTGTAACTTATATCATAATTAAATCTTCTCTAATAAAACCAGTAAATCTTCAACATCGTTAAAATTCACGACTATCACCGCATTGCATTGATACACAATTAGTAATAACAGAACTTAAAATTATTTGTCCCTCTCTTGGTAAAAAGTATAATTGTAATAAGTACCGTTTATAATGAGTATTTATTGTTATATTGATTTTGAATAAAGGAGTATACTTTTGTAGAACAATCTGGAGTTGGAAGGTCGTGTTGAAGAAGAATCTTTTTAGTCTTAAAACCTAAACCCCCAATTCGATACTAATCGTTTCTTGTTTCATAAGAGACAAAACAGCAAACAGTTACAAGACGCATCGATTGTGGTTTGATATTTGTGACAAACCTTTTTTTCTTTTTTTAATTTTCATCCGGTTGAATGATCGAGTGTCTCCTGGGGTTCTTAATTGAATTGGGTGATTGGATTAGCCTTAGTTCGCCTTGCAGTTCATCTTAAAACTGGAAGAAGTATTGGAGGTTGATGAGTCGCTGTGGACTTTGTGATCAACTGGGTGTTGCGTGGATTTTAGATTTGGATGTTCTTTGACGTACCCAGGTAAACGATTTCGAATGCTTACAAACTGTTTGTATAACTGTCTATGTGACGATTTTGCATTTCTTCTTTTCTTCCCCTTTGTTTTTTAATTAATTAATAATATTGTTCTTGGACCTGGGTTCCAATTCGATAGTCAAGCCAGTCCCTCATTTCTAGTTTTTGTTACTTACGATTAAGATTTAGAAGATACGTATCATATGGGTTCGTCTCTCCTCTACTATTCACACGCTTGTAACGTGACTGATTGAATTAGCTTTTTGAGAGTATGAAAAGCTTAATTTTGGTTTGTATATTTTGAAGTTGGTATATATCGTTCTCCATTTGTGATTTCGAAGAAGGGGATGATGCTTCTTTTCGACATGTTTTGTGTGCTTATTTAGCATAACCCTTATGGTGAATACTAGAGCCTTATTGTGATAGTGTTCTATATCAAAATTTTCAGCTTATAAATTATATTGAAATTTACTTATAGATTTTCATCTTCTTCTTGGTATTTAGTATGTGTGATGCACTTGCTTTTAGTTTACAATTTAGAAATGTTAAAGTTGGCTTTGGTTACTTGATGAAATCTGAATGATGTTTCTGATAAAACCGATTTCTGATATAATATGTTTTATTCATATTTCATTTTGGAGCTCGACTGAAACTTGAAGTGGGTTCTCAATAATTTGGAATATTTTATGGACATGAATTTATAGTTATTTGTGGTTTACTATCAAAGCAGAGGCTTTTATTGCGTAAAATTCAAAGGTAATCATCATGATCACTATCTGTGTTCTGATTTCTGTTTCAATAATGGAACCCCAGCACCAACTCTGCCAGTTTCTGCTTCAATTCAAATAAGCCATGACTGAAAACAACAGAGATTCGAAAATGGCAGTAGAAACAAACACGGCTTTAAAAGAAGCTCTTTGTGCTCAACAGCGACTTCTGCAGAAACTTTACAATGAGTTGGACGTAGAAAGGGAAGCCTCAGCTACTGCAGCTAGTGAAGCCTTAGCAATGATATTGCGTCTTCAAGGAGAAAAAGCTTCTATAAAGATGGAAGCCGAGCAATACAAAAGACTAGCAGAGGAGAAAATGTATCATGCTGAGGAATCTATGGAAGTATTTGAAGACTTTATTCGCCAAAAAGAAATGGAGATTGCTTCCTTAGATTACCAAGTTCAAGCCTATAGGTACAAGCTATCATGCTTGGGGATTGAAGATATTGGAGCCAAGGAGATAAAATATCCCGAGAATTTGTTACAGCTAAATGAAACTTCAGTTGGGGAATCAAACCCCGAGGGTCTCTTGAGGAGAAACTCTGCACCTCCAAAACTTCTGAAACTGGCTTATGTGAAAAGGAATAGGTCCATGAGTCCGGATTCTGATATGATTCCAAAAATAGTGGAGGAAAGTGGACAGGAGGAAGGAAGTCATCAAAACTTGGATTCCGAGAAACAAATGGATGGTTCATTGTCTGTGGATATCAATTCGTATTGGGATCAGATTCGAAAGTTAGATAAGATAGTTGAAGAGATGGCAGGAGAGCAATTCCTTAGTTTGAGGGATAGATCCTCAAGATCTTCCTCTGTTTTTTCTCAACTTAATGAATTGGATCAAGCTCAAATTCTCAAAAAGTCAGCGGATGACGAGATGCTTTCAGATACTTGTTCATTGAGTGTGCATGATGTCTTTGAAGTCCCTGAAACCAACGGAAATCTTGCGAGTCATGAGCAGGTGAAAGATAATGGGATTTCAATCTTGAAAAATGAAAAGGAAGTTGGAAAACTAGTTACTTTCCCAGAAGAGGCTATGAAATCATGCAACAATGCTGAAACTGGTTTGTGTGAAAAAGGGTTACTGTTGAAACACAAAGATAAGCAGGCGTTTTTCCCAAGAGATGGTATCAATATCAGCTGCCACATGGCCGTTGATCTGCCCGCCATGGATGTAGCTGACGCTCAAGGATCATCTGAACAGGTGAACACAACAGAGATAACAGAGGGTGAGAGGGAAGATGTAAGATCACAAGAACAAGTTAGCACTACAGGAAGGGAAGAGGTGATGAAAATGTTATATGAGATAAACGAGAAATTAGATTCAATACAATCTGAGATTAGAAGTAAAAACACAAAAACCAAGGAATCGTCTCCGAAATACGACTTACCCATGCTTCAACTTACGGAGGTACCATAACATTTTCTGGTCATGTATTGTTTATGTGAATTTAGTTTTTTCCCGCTCTTACTGTATGATAGTGTTGTAAAATGGAAAAGAGAGAGTGCTAATTAAGTCCCAAATTAGAAAGTTGAACCAAAGTCAAACAAGGAATAAGTGAGTGATCCCAATGAATCTCTGGCTTGAACACTCGAAAGGTGTTCTCAGTGTACAAAACAAAGTTCCCAAATCATTCAAGTATGGTATTCACCTAGTAAATATGCACAATCTCAAGAGATAAGAGTTAGAAGACAACACCAAGACTTGCGTGGAAACCAAAAATAGGAGAAAACCACACCAATGAGAGAAATCCACTAGTTTTATAGGTGCTTTTATAGGCTCAACTCATTTTAGCTTGAATCAGTTCAGGTTGAGCCATGCTGGACTCATTGAGTTAGGATGGTCGAACCCACCTTTAGTTCATGCTTGTTTATGCACTTTATCTAAATCTCCATTGGTTTCTGTTGGGTATTATGTATCTAATAGTCTTTGTTCTTCATACCTTTTCGCTCATACTTGTACACAAGTTGGGTTTTTCTATGCAAACAACCACTCTACCCTGTGGGATGGAGTACAGTCTAGACCCTGCTTTCGAGTGAGATTTATTTGGTTTATTTAAAATCTCCAACGACAATTTATTGACAGGCGATGCTGCATTTTTGGCTGTGATGTGAATAAGCAACTTGTTCCTAATTGATGAGCTGGTGAGGAAATTGATGGTGCTTGAAGTAGTAGTTTTGGTTCTAACTAACTAAGAGGTGGTTTGGCATGATTTGATTGGTTTGTATATTTGCATATATACTTGTACATACTTACAAAATGTGTGTTGTGCTTGTAAAAGGTATTTGGACTTGCAGTTGCATTGAATTCAAAGTTTAACTCGGTGGTGGTGGGATTTGTCGCTTTAATTGCTTCTGATCTAAAATACTTATTATTTCGGTATTTTGAAAAGGAGATATGCATTTTATGTGTTGTACGTGTTTTAAACTATAAGTCACCTAGAACGTACAAGATGAATAGACCAAATGACTAGATAACTTACGGTTCGAAATTCGAAGGAATATTTCATCGTTCGAAACCTTCTTTAGAACGTACAGGATGAATAGACCATATTATTTGAGAAATAATGTTTCCTCATGGTCTTGTGAGTCATTTGTAAAGCGTGAAAATTGTAATACTTGAGAGAAATATAAAATTGATATTTGAGAAATTATGACGACTCTACTTTATTATACAGACATTTTTAAACTACAAGTTCTTAAAATATATCTAATGACTAGTTTTTAATATAATTTTAAAATATTCGGTAGATACAAAAATTAGATGATCAATTTGTAAAATTATATATTGTTTTCCTTGAAAATACGTAACACTAAGTTTTTAAATAACAGCTATAAAAATATACAATATAATTATAACGAAAATAAAAATATAAAATATGATTAAAAATAATAGAAAGGAGTCGGCTCGTGTTCTGGTACCAAATCTATGGCATGTGGAGTGGATTGACCCATGAACCTCTCAGATTGTTGGGTCATCTAGGTATATAACTTTAAATGAGATTTTAATGAAATTTATTACCTCTTATCCTATTAAAGAAAAATGACTTCATCTTCATCAGAAAGTCATAGATTTAATAAAATCTAATTTAACGTTGTATACTTGAATACACAAATCGTCTTGTTGGGGCTCCTCTAGTTGTATACTTTTTCAGGGCAAATAAGAAACAAAAGAAATGGTTTAAATTTGTTAGACATAAGGATTGTTTACTAAACATTTACCTCTTCAATTACCTTACATGATGAGCATACCAAGGAACAAGAATCTTACTCGGTAAGAGGGAGACGAAGTTCGAGAGTCTTAGCCGGGTAAGTGAGGGTGACGGTTCTTACATGGTATCAAATTTATGGCCGAGAATGTTACCCAATAAAGTAAGTGAAAATGGTGACACTTGCTGGTAAGCGTCTGCTAAATGCCCCTTGGTTGATTTTAATTATGCTTTTGTTGTTTTTAGTACTTGGATGTTGTTTTAGTTCATGTCTTAATTTGATATGAGAAAAATTATGGATGTTCATACCTTCAATATTTAGTTTCAGTCGTAAAGACTTTTGTTCCAAGTCTATTTAATATTTATGAGTATTTCGTTGTATTTGGTGATGACATTTATGTTGATTATCATGATTTGCGCGTCAAATATGATCCACGTCTTCAAGGTAAAAATAAAGGTGCAACGGTTGTTAAACAAATTATACCGTAAAATGTGAATGTTAGTTATATAACTTTAAAACTAAAGGGCTTCTTCTTCTGGCACAACGCCAGCGTCGGGCAGTTGTCCCACGGCCGCATCTGGAGGTGTAGGTGTAAAAGGTTGTTTACTAAACAATCACATCCTCTTATTTTAATTATATAATATTTATATATAGCAAATAAAACAAATAAACTCATACACCCTCCTCATCCTTGATGAGATATAAACCCTTAACCAACAAGGAGGCCAAAAGGTCCACATACTGTTAATGCAAAGACCCTATGACAATAACGATGTTTTACCAAGTAACTAAACACTTCTTCCCTCTTGTTGTATAAGAGATGCATACCTGATTAGAGATGACAATCTTTACCAATAGTTTTACCATGTTGATGGAGAATCTTACCCAATAGGTAAGGGTGGTCTCTTACCATGTCATCGCTTATCGGGTAAGAGAGATTTATACTATGTTATTTTAATGATCGAGAATCTTACCCGATAAGATAAGTGAGCATGACTACCTTTGTTTATGGTCTTGGTAAAAGCTTAACTGTCAATTCATTAAGACAATGATTCCCATGCCTTGGTATTTTTTCAGTCTTGAAAGTGTCATATTAACCTAAAAGATCTTGAACACAGGAACAAACATATAATCCCAGAAAGGTCTGTATGAAGGTTTTACTTGAAACCTTTTTGGATGGATTAGAAATGAGAGAGGCAAATAAGGGGTCTCCATTCTCCATCTCCATGGAACATACCAATACAAAAATGACCTATAATAAATTCCAATAAAACTCAAGTAGATCCAAATGGCTAAACCTATAGGCCATAACCATAACTACTAATCTGCATAATAAACATTCTGTACTTGCATGCTACAAAAAGATAAACAGAAAGATCAATAAGTTACCAAGTTGAGAACAAAACCATGACGATTTAGATGATGTACATGGACCACACGAGCTCAATGGCCATTGATATATCTCATATCATAGGTTCCCTTCTGAATTCTCGGGTCAAACTTGAGTTTAATCCACCCGAAAACATAGGACACACACATACTTCCCCAAATCACTACACGGCATACAGGAAACCAGCTAAGCAAACAAGAAACTACAATTACATGTCGACAAATATAAATATCTTGCTAATGCAGGGTCAAGGAAGCATCAATGGATGATATAACCAAATTGATTCACAGATTTGTCGTAAAAACCAAGTGTCTTGCTGCCAAAACCAGTCAAGAATAACATAAAACCAAGTTCAATGCAACTCTTCAGAAGACCTTTACCACCATTGCAAGTTCAAAATCATATAGTCAATCAGAAATCGATAGAGGCCAAATCTTTGAGCTTATAGTGGAAGCAGTATCATCCTACTACATGAAAATGGGTACCAAGATTCAGAACATGATTAATGGGAATATCATATACCACAATCTTCCACAATCAACAAAGCAGATATGATAAATCCCACATCTTTCCAATCTTTTTGGATAAAGGAAGACCCAATACAGAGATCAAGTGCTTTATATGATATGAATCTGAAATAAAGCTTCTAATATACATATATACTTAGATCACAAATGCAATCAAGCAGCTACAGATCAAATATCAATCAACATCCACATAGAAACCAAAAATCAATCAATATGTGAAACAACAGCACAAATCCAACTCGATTGCATTATCAGAACCAGCGCATCTGATTCAAAATATGTAAATCATGATTAGGATTCTATACACACATGGAAATTTTCCCCAAAAGCTTTAACCCTCGCAAAAATTCATTGCTTTCACAACTTGCACAGTAGTAAAAATCGATTAGGAATAACCTAGCTCGTCGATGCTCCGTCCTCTTCCTTTTTTGATCCACCGCAATAATGTTCATGATCGTGGTCGTGATCGTGATCGTGATCATCCTCGTCGTCACTGGAGTCTTCATCGAAAGGTTTTTCTTTGTGGAAGATGCAGCATTTCTTTGAGCTCTTCTTTTGAAGGAATTCGTTATCGACGGTACCTTCTTTCCACGTCACCTTCTTCTTCCTCGGATTGAGCGTTAAGGTCAGGGTTGTGGTCTGCGGCGGAGCTGGGTTTTCTAGGGTTATGGTAGTGGCTGTTGTTGTCGTCGATGATGTTCCCGATTGCCTCGCAGGTCTCGCCATCTTCGCGTTCTCGAAAATTCTAGGGCTTGATGTGGGTACGATCTCCTAATTTGGGGAAAACAGATGTGTGTGTGTATATATATATATATATAGAGTATATATATATATATATATATATATATATATATATATATGTTCAATCCTGCAAACCATACAGTGTCGTATCGAGAATTTTCTATGGAAAGATTTTCCCTTTTGCTATTTTTTTCACAATGCACCCACAAGTTAAGAGTTATCATATTTGGACCACCAAACTTGTTGAATAATTTACAGGTCGTTTCCCAAATGTTTACCAGGCAACTGTTTTCTACATGTCAATCACTTTATCGGATGAACATGACAAAGATCAAGAATTTTACTCAGTAAGAGGTGTAGAAGGACCAATAATCGTTTTGTCTTCCATATCGGAATCTGATAAGTAAGATTTCGAGTAAGTGTTTCCACAATCTTCTTCTGTCCGAAGAAATGATAAATAATGTTTAAACACTGGAATTTACATATTCTTCTCATAAATGATAAATTAATGCATTTTGAAGTATGGAACGAGTTATATATATATATATATATATATATATATATATATATATATATATATATATATCATTGATTTGTTTATACTGAACAAAAACATTGTTGGAGTTAACCAATATCATCCACCACTCGTTTCAACCTCTATTTGTATCACTTTCTTGCAAATTCAATTGATGCTACAAGAAATAGTTCACCATCGATTATCATGTAATATAAAATAATACATGTAGCAATTATTATGTAATGTAACACTTGTTTCTTCTAAAATCGGTAATTGTTAAACATGATTGGAGAACTCCAAAGGCACATTCTACATCTTTTCTGCATACTTCTTGTTGCATAGCAAAATATTTTGGAACCCTGTGGTTCGTGAACAGTTTGCACTGTAGTTGGCCATTCTGGATATATACCATTAACTCTCTGTTGTTTAAAACGCATTCTTTCATGGTCATTATGCATTTTCAACTTTTTCCTTAGTTATGTTTTCGTATATGTATATGTGTGGGGTGTGTGTGTATATATAATACTAGGTTCGATCCCGTGTATTACACGGGGTAATTTGAAAATTTTAAATCATGTCAGAAACTTATCTTACAGATATGAATGATTATCGAAAGTACGATGCTAATTCAAACTTGTACTCTTAAAATAACTCTGAAGTATAACTCTAAAAAATGAATCTGAAAAATGACTCTTTAGACTTGAATTAAGAAATGAAACTATATCAGTAATTAGTTAAAATGAAGTTAACCCTAGAATAAAATTAAATGTGTTATTTTGAACAAATATAGACATATCTTTTACAAAAAAAACCTTTTATAGCCGACATGTTAACCAACAAAACTCGTCTTACAGAACTCCTTGACAATATCAGCACAACATCAGCAAGTGATAGCTGAAAGCTGTCACGATAAGTTGTCAGTGATAAGCTGAAAGCTGTCTCTTCAGTGATAGCTGAAAGCTGTCACGATAAGCTGAAAACACAAGCTGAAGGTTGTCAGCAATAACCTGTCAGATTAGCTGAAGGCTGTCAGTGATAAGCTATAAGTGATAAGTTGAAAGCTGAATGCTGTCAGCAATAACCTGTCAGATTAGCTGAAGGTTGTTAGCGATAAGCTGAAAGCTGTCACGATAAACTGAAAACACAAGCTGAAGGCTGTCAGCAATAAGTTGTCAGATTAGCTGAAGGAAATTAGTCTGAACTAAATTCCATTTAGTAGGGAAATCAGTTAAACACGATAAAAAAAAAATACAATTTTAGAGGGACATATGTCAATCAAATAAGTATATTTGAACCACTAATGTAAATTGTGTCTAGATACATGTTTAAGTGGGAAAATAAGATAACCGACTCACCAGAAGATGACACGTGTCACCCAAGTTACTTATTTATTAGGTGTATAGATTTGTAGGTTTAAATCAAACAAGTTATATATATAAATAATATTTGTAGGTTTAAATCAAACAAGTTATATATATAATTAATAAGGAAAATTACACCAAAATGGAACCAACTTTCACCTGATTCTTATTTTGGGGAACCAATTTTCAAAATTGTCATTTAGAGGTCTCTATCAAACTTTTTGTTTATTTAAGTTTCTGGTTGACCTGTTAATGTCGACATCATCCAGATCTTTTGCCAACTAAGATAGTCCACATCATATTAATTTTTTATTTTAAAACTAATATTCCACGTCATATTTAAAATTGCAAAATAATTATAAAAAAAAACTAAAATTCGTTTTTTTTTTCAAAAATTATTGTAATAAAATCTATTTTTCATTCCAAATCTCGTTTTTTTTAAATTCAAATATCAAATTGAAGGTTTTTTCAAAAATGGACTTCTTTACTCACAATTTGATATCTGATTTAAAAAAAAAGGAGATTTGGAATGAAAAAATAGATTTTATTACGATAAATTTGAAAAAAAAAACGAATTTTAGTTATTTTTCTATCATTATTTTGCAATTTTAAATATGACGTGGAATATTAGTTTTAAAATAAAAATTTAATATGGCGTGGAATATTAGTTTTAAAATAAAAAATTAATATGACGTGAAATATCTTAGTTGACAAAAGATCTGAATAATGTCAGCATTAACAGGTCAACATGTCAACTAGATCCTTAAATAAACAAAAAGTTTGATAGAGACTCCTAAATGACAATTTTGAAAGTTGGTTCTTTAAAATAGAAATCAAGTGAAAGTTGGTTCCATTTTGATGCAGTTTTCCCTAAATAATATTTGTGTATATATATATATATACTAGAAGCGTACTCGCGCAATGCAGCGAGATACATCGTGATTTTAATATTTCATTTTATTCTTTATCTCAGTCGATGTTATAATATGACTTTATGTGATTTTGAGAAAACGATGATGTTTTTATTTTTGAATAAAATATATGTTTGAAGATATCATAAAAATTTGACTAAATATATCGATATTAGTATCAAATTTGACAAAATATATCGATATTAGTATCAAATTAACTATTTGAAATTCCTCATTTTTTTGTGTAATTTTTTAAATCAATTTTTTTATAATTTAATTTATGTACAATAACGAAGTAATTTATATTTGGTTTAATAATATAATTTTTTTATAAAGCTAATAATTATTTATTTTGTTGGAACTCGATAATTATTTTAATTATATTTTAGATTTTTTTATATTTTAAAATGAGATGTTCATCCTCTATTTGATTATGTTTATCCGCAGTTATTTATACGAATTCAAACAT